CCCCCCGCCCCGTCAAAGCAGGAGCTGGGAGTCCGAGTCTCTATGCTGCTCTGTAACAAAGAGCTGAGCTGCAGGGAGTCATTTTCCCCATTCTTTTTCTTTTTTTGACCCAGCCAGGTAGGAGGATTGTTTAGGGATTCGGGCCTGCCTTGCCTCTCATTGTGTATCTGGAAGAACCGACCTGACTGGGTCCCTCAGTTGCAGTTCTGAGGGCCAGAAACATTGTTCTAAGGGTGACCCCAGAACAGGGCTCTGACCTTCCAGATGTCTCCTGTATTCTCTTAAAGATGCACCCTTTATACTCCACACTACAAGATGACAACACACTACCGTCATCGTTAGTTAGCTCTTCCAGCCCAGATCGCACTGCTCAGTGAGACTTGCCTTTCCCTCAGGGAGGGAATGGCAGGGATGAGGGGAGAGATCTGTGGCAGGCAGCCGCCGCCACTCACTGGCTCTTGCCATCTTGTGGCTCCTTCTCGCTCAGAGCCTGGGCCTCATTGGATAGTCTGCCCTAATCAACAGCTAAGGGGAAAGGGTGTGGGTCAGGACTCGGGTCTCCTGCTGATCATGCCCTTGACCTCCCCAGGGTCAACCTTGAGTCCCTAAGACCATCGAACCCCCCGAAATTTTCGATCCAATCATCTGGAAATTTTCAAACACTGACAAAAAATGGAGGGAAAGGATAAATGAACCCCGAAGGATCCCCATTCCAGCAGTTCTCCCCTCCGTCCAGTTATCATGAAACAAATCCATGACAAATTTCCCAGAATAAAAAGTTAGATTGGGGGATTCAGGTGATGGGGTTGAACCTTTCGAGGGGCTGGCGGAACTAGGCGCTTGATTGTCAACAAAACAAATCAAACAGGGACATGAGTTCCTGATAAAGCCAAGTCGTATGATTCATCCCCAAATACTTCAAGATGTCGCTCCTACATATGAGGGCCCTCTCTTCAGAAACAAGCAAACCATAACCCAAGTATCTCAGTTACACCTAGAAATAAGTCATTCTTCCATACTGCACGTCTAATCAGTATTCAAAGTCCCCCAATTCTGACAAATTTTCAAATGGGGTTGTTTTCTTCAGACTCCGGGCCAGGTCTGTATTTTGCGATTGAGTGACTTCTTTCTTAATAACCTTTCATCTCGATTGTAGGTTCCCAAACTTATTTGACCTACTTCCCTCACCCCCACTCCCTTTTCAGGAAAAAAAAATGACTCAGTAACCCCCCCGCCAAATGAAAACCGTTTGTAGTGCCTGCTTTGGCAAAACCGTCTCCCACTTTGGGAGACACTGCACTCGAGTGTCCTCCACTCCACCCCCAACTACCTGAAGGACTTGCTAAAACAGATTCCCAGGCTCTTCCCACCCGCTTGAAGACGGTCTGATCCCGCAGGCCTGCACTTCCTACCTGTTGCCAGGTGGCGCTGGTGTTGTAGTTCTGGGGCCCACCTTGCCGTCGTGGGCCAGTCCACAGCTCCCAGTCTGGGTGTTGTGACTCCTTCCCCTGCAGCGCCACTGAGCATCATCTCTGCCCCCCGTGTTTCTGCCAAACTTGTCGGTAGACTGGAGGGTCCATAGGCTCGGGTTCAATTTTCTGTGGAGACGGCTTCATGGATTGTTTCGTTCTTCTCCCAGGAAATGCACAGTGTCCATTTGACTCTTAGTGAACGATTTAACTGTACATGCGACTTCAGATGTGAGCCTCAAATAGGTGCCCGGGCACAAGCTTATTCTAACTCTACTTCACGGTGCGTCTGAGATTCGTCATCATTAGTTATCATGGGTCCACACAGAACTTAATCATCCTCAAAGCACTTTCATGCTGCTAAATTCCTTTGATCATGCGGGCGGCCAGCCCCTTGGGGGAGGGTGTGGCTGGTGCTCCCATCTTCCTTCAGAACTGGAGGCTGAGTCTTGGAGAGAGGGAGGACTTCTCCAAGGTTGCACATCTGAAAACAGGGCTGGGAGGAATGAGGTGAGGGTCTCACCCCTGCCCTGCACTCCACTCCCCACAGCCCTGCCTCTCCTGAGATAACAGCCCCCCCCCCCCTCTCCTCTAGGACTCAGATCAACTTCACGGTGGCCATTGATTTTACAGCCTCCAATGGTGAGTGTGGGATGGAAAGGGGAGGGGCTGGGGAAGAGAAGGTCGGGCTGGAAGGGGTGCTTTTAAGGACTGTCTGTGGCGCTTGCTGCGAGCTAAAAACCCACAGCAAACTCAATACCATCAGGTCAAGTCCAACTCATCGAGACCCTATTGGACAGGGTAGAACTGCCCTTGTGGGTTTCTGAGACTGCGACTCTATGGGGAATAGAGAGCCTCATCTTTGTCCCTCGAACCGCTGACTTTGTGATTAGCCGGCCAACATATAAGCAGTACACCACCAGGGCGTCTTCAGTACCAAAGAGTGTGGCATGGGCCTGGAGGGCCAACGATAGAATCAAGTTGGCAATGCTGTTGCGAGGTCTCATGAATGTCACTAACAAATCTGGTTCTTGGAATGACATAGTGTGGACCACACCCTGTCCATGGGGGGCACACACAGGACATTCACAGGACTCTAGGGAGAGATGTGCCCACCCTACCCAAAACCCGGGCCCTCAGTGCAGCCTCACCCACAGGCTGGAGAGGAAAACTGCCATCAGGATGGAAGTAGGTGTTTCTGGGAGGAGACAGGATCCAAGCCAGAACCTCGGTCCCAAGCCGCCTCTGAATTTTCTCTGTATCAGGCTGGGGCCAGGTCACCAGGAGCAACCACCTTGCCCAACTCCACAGTCTTAGCAACTTCTCAGCCTTGCGCTCTGGCCCCCTTTCATGTCAGGGCTCCTCCGACTCCAGTGTGTCCGCAGCCCCTTAGTGTCCCAGAGCAGGGAGGGCTCTCTGTATAACCCTCACAGCAATCCCACGGGGCAGGACCTCATTGCCTCCTCATTTCGCAGGGGAGGAGACTGAGGCTGAGAAGTTAAGGGACTGACCCAAGGCCATGCCGCTAGCAGGCAGGGGAGGCAGGGTTGGAGCCTTGGTCGTCTGACCCCAGCCCTGCCCACTTGTTAGTAAACAAGGAAAATCTAGATTGAGTTCATGGTGACCAGGGCTGTGGAGGGAAATCAAGCCAGAAACAGAGAGCCGAAGTATCGGGGAGACTGTAACCCTCACTAGGCTGGTCAGGGGAGGCTTGAGCAGAGGTGAGGCATGTAGACCTTTGGGGGACAGTGTTGCAGGCAGACGGAGCAGCCAGCACAAAGGTGCTGAGTAGGTGACAGAGGGTGGCAGGTGAGCAGGAACTGGAAGCCAGATCACCTGGGCAGCGGGCCCTTGAGCTTTACCTCAAATGAGAAGCGTGACCTGACCAAGCTGTGCCAGGCTCACCCTGCCTGGTGTGCTGAATGCGTGTGAGCCTCAGGGTAAGCCAGACAGAGCTGCTGCCATCCCACATGTGACCGGAGCAGAGTGGTGGCAGTGAGGAGAGAGAAGTTGGTGGGTTCGATGAAGGTGTACCTACTGCCTCGGAGTCAATTTCCACTCACAGTGACCCTAAAGGACAGGGGAGAGCTGCCCTGTGGGTTTTCCTCTGAAACTGTTAACTCTTGGCGGGAATAGAAAGCCTCATTGGTCTCTCAGGGAGAGGCTAGTGGTTTCGAACTGCAGACCTTGCAGCTAGCAGCCCAACATGTAATCAATAGGCCACCAGGGCTCTCTGTGTGAAAGTTCAGCAGTCAGAATCTCCTACAGATGTGAATGGGGGCTAGGAGCGGAAGGGGGGATTGAGGAGAAAGAGACAAGCTGGGGTGTCGCCTGGTGTTGCAAAGGGTTAAGTGCTGGACCTGGAGTGGAAACATTGACCATTGAAAGCCACTCAGAAGAAAGGTCTGGGGATGCCCCTCATGCTGGTGAACCCCAAATGGTTTGAGGGTCCAGGCTGGCAAACTGCCCATGTCCTGTGCCGCAGGGAACCCCTCGCAGTCCACATCCCTGCACTACATGAGCCCGTACCAGCTGAATGCCTACGCTCTGGCACTGACCGCCGTCGGGGAGATCATCCAGCACTACGACAGTGACAAGATGTTCCCTGCCCTTGGCTTTGGTGCCAAACTGCCCCCTGATGGCCGGGTGTCCCACGAGTTCCCTCTGGTAGGTGGCCCCGGAGGAAAGGCTGGCCCGGCTGGTTGCGGTGGCAAGCTCCGGTTGGGGTGGGAGTGGGGAGGGCGTTTACCATCATACTCCAACTTAGGGACTTGAGGTGCCGCGTCTGGAGCCAGGCGGAGGATTGGCTGTGTGTTGGGGCCTTGTGTCAGGGCCCCTGTTCACAAACCCCTCAGTGCCCCTTGTCTGAGCCACCAACCGCTGTCGGGGTAGAGTGGAGCTGGGGCTGAACTGTCCCCTTCAAAAGGCCCAGGAAAGAGGTTAGGGGTGTGGGGAGCTGCAGGTAATTCTAAGGATTCCCTGCATTAGTGGGGGAATGGGGCCGGCCGGCCGGGGGGCCTCTGCAGGGTAGGTTCCTCTGGGAGTTAGGTGGACCAGGCCACCCTTTCCCCTCTCTCCCTGGAGGGCAATCAATCAGACGTGTTAGGGAATGTTTCTCTCACACCTGCAGAGGGCAGGGTTGAGCCCTGGGTATGCCAAGATGGATCACCCCGGCAACCGCTGAGGGGTCGGGGGCTCGGTGTGGGGGGGGAGGGTGTCTGTGGGAAGCTCGGGGATCTCAGGGCGTTCCACTAGCTCCCCCAGAACAGATGCTGCCTGGGAGGGCCCACTGGAGAAGTCTAGCGGAGCGCAGGGCTACCCACCCCCATCCCCTGGGCCACCCTCCCTGCGTCCTGGCCTCAGGCCCCCCACCCGTGTGCCATGCCCCCAGAACGGCAACCAGGAGAACCCCTCGTGCTGTGGCATCGACGGGATCCTGGAGGCCTATCACCGCAGCCTGCGCACCGTGCAGCTCTACGGCCCCACCAACTTCGCCCCCGTGGTCACCCACGTGGCCAGGTGAGCCCCGCCCCCCCAGGGCCACGTGACACACCCCTCCAAGCCACTCACTCCACCCACGGAGACTGATGTCCTCGAAGAGACTCCCCTGCCCCCAGATCTACGCGCACTAAAGAACCAGGGATCTTTTCTGCACCCCCCAGGAGCGCAGCGGCCGTGCAGGACGGCTCCCAGTACTCAGTGCTGCTCATCATCACGGACGGGGTCATCTCCGACATGGCACAGACCAAGGAGGCCATCGTCAATGTGCGTGCCCATGGGCCCCAGGAACGCCCCTGGGCTTCTCACCCCTTTCTGCCCGCTCCGGGGTTCCCCTAGTCCACACGCCTGGCTCTGGGGTCCCACTTCCAGGAGGGCGGGTGGCAGGCAGACTGGAGACCCTGCCCTCAGCCACGGTGGACAGAGCGATCCTCTCTCCAGACACTCGCGCAAACTCACTGCCATCGAGTCATCGCAACCCTCGGTGGGCTTCTGAGACCGTCACAGGTTTAGGGGAGTTGAAAGCCCATCTGTTCTCAGTCTTGCTCCCACAGAGCCGCCGGTGGTTCCAAACTGCCGGCCATGTGGATCGCAGCCCCGCCGTACCACCACGGCACCACCACTTAGGGTTCCCTCAAGAACTGTGCTTGCCCCTCCCCCAGCCCAGCCTGCCAGGTTGAGGAGGTGGGACACCCCACGGAGGGACTGTGACACCCCTACCTGGTGATCTGGGAAAAGGAGTCCTATCGGCACCGCTCACCTACAGAGCCCCCCAAGTAGCAGGCCAGCATGCAGAGGGAAGAGCAGGCCCATGGCAAATTTCCCATGTCTCCTCCCCTGGCTTGGCCCTTCTCCTGGGGCCCCAGCTGGTCTCCCTTGGGCTCTCTCTCTGTGCACACTCTCCCCCTCCCCTTGCTTTTCTCTGTCTCTCTATCACCGCCCCCTCCCCTCTTCTCTTCTGTGGACTCCCTTTCGGTCCCTGCCTATGGTACTCAACTCCCTCTTTAAACTGTATCCCCTGCCCCCATCTCCCAGGCTGCCAAACTACCCATGTCCATCATCATCGTCGGCGTAGGCCAGGCGGAGTTTGATGGTGAGTCCAGCCACCACCGCCCTCCCCGCCTCTCCATCCAGGCTCCCACGGTGTGTGTGTGTGTGTGTGTCAGGCGTGACTGTTTACTCAGGGAGGGGTGTGTCAGGGTGGGTGCCCCACACCCACCTCCCAAGGCCCTGGGGAAATAGCTCTGAGTCACTCCCCCCCACTCCACTCCAACCTTGGGAGGTGGGAGCATTGCATAAGCCATCAGGTGCCTGCCAGGTTGGGCTCCTGTCTCGCTCCAGCCTCAGTTTCTTCATGTGTAACTCAGGGGCATGAGTCTGTGGTCTGAGCCCTAGATTATCCTAACCCTGGGCCCTGACCGTCCATTCCCTGACCTCTCCCCACACAGCCATGGTGGAGCTGGATGGCGACGACGTGCGGATCTCCTCCCGGGGGAAGCTGGCCGAGCGAGACATCGTGCAGGTGAAGCCTGGGCCCTGGCTGCCCACATGGGCAGTGCAAGGGGCCCTCAGCCAGGCTTCCCTCCTTGTGGGGATTTCTCTGGGGAGGACCCCTGGAGGGAGGGGCTGGGAGAAGGACAAGGGGCAGATCTGGGCAGACACTGCTCTCTGGGCTGCAGCCCTCCCCGCCATGTCACCTAACCTGGTGCCCTCCCCAGCCCCCAAGCTCCACCTGCTGGCCCCCAGGGCCCCACACAGCACCTCCAGCTCTGTTTCTGGCTCCTTCTGTTGTATCCCACCTGGGCTGCCTACCCCAGGTGAACCGCGGAGATGGCATCTTCAGCGTAGCTGCCCCTTTCCGGAGAAAGAGCATCACGGGTTACCTGGGCTAAAGTCTGAGCGCCCCGTTCTAGAAGGCAAATGTAAAGGGCAGGCAGGTCTTTGTCCTCTGGAAATCCTTACCCGCTGAGATGCAGAAGGTCCCCTCCATAAGCATACTTTCACTGACCTAGTCCCTAGTGATCAGGAGATGCAGGATAAAAAACGGGCATTCTCCTACAGGCCTTTGATGCAAAGAAAGGGGCCGGGGCCAGGGATCCTTCTAGGAATGAAGATCTAAAATGAACTGGAAACAGGCGAGAGCATCCGGGGAGGGAGACCAGGTGACGGAAAGACCCGGTGACAGGCTGAGTTGGAGACCCTCGGGGAGTGGTAGGGGGTCAGTCACTTCAGAAGGAAGCCGGACCAGCCCCAGAGAGGAAAGAGGAGGCCAGTGAGGGCGGAGGATTCGGGCAGCACCTTTCCTGAGCACCTACTAAGAGCCAGGACCTGTGTTCCTTGCCAGAACGAGAGAATCTTCAGTGGAGTATCCTGGCGCGGAGGAGGTGCTCTGCGCCCCGTTTTTAGGCCAGCACGGTGTTCCAACTGCGCAGCCGCCTCGAACCAGTTCCTTTGGCTCTTCGTGTGCTTAGGTCGCGCATGCCCATTATTTATGTGGACGCGTCACATGCAAAAAGTGGACAATATTTGTTGAGAGCATGCATGAGTAGTGATTCAGATACCATGTGGGGGACGAGCTTAGCAGGGACTAGAGGAGGGTGCAGACCTGACCCCAGGGCAGGAGGAAGGTGCATCGGTCTGACCATGCCCCCTCTCCCTCCCAGTTTGTGCCCTTCCGAGACTATGTGGACCGCACGGGCAACCACGTGCTGAGCATGGCGCGCCTGGCCCGCGATGTGCTGGCTGAGATCCCGGACCAGCTGGTGTCCTACATGAAGGCGCAGGGCATCCGCCCACGTCCCCCGCCTGGACCCCCCGCCAGCTCACCCCCACAGTCCCCTGCTCGCACGCCCTCCTCCTCCCCCCAGCATGCGCACATCTGAGCCTGCCCAGTGGCAGGCAGGCGCTGGGGTCTGGAGTGGGCCAGTCAGACAACGGGCAGGGTCCTGGGAGCCCATCTCCTGCCCAGCCCACTCGAGCCCCTTCCATATCTAGGTGCCTGGGAGGTGGGCTGTGGGTGGGGCCTCTGAAAGCTCCGCCCTAGTGTCCTGGCCTAGACCCCAGGTGTTGGGGAGGCAGGCATACAGGGGCAGAATAGGGCACAATTTTCAGCATCTCTGCTCAGCCCAACTTCTCCAGACTCCCAAGTTCTAGCCCAGCCGGGAAGATGTTAGGGGGGGTGATGGGAGTTCCCTTCAGCCTAGTCTGGGTTATCCTGTCTGCTCACCTTCAGGGGGCAGCCTACACTGGACCTCCCTCCTCCAGCCCTAGCCCTCTCTGGTGGTTAATCTTGTGTCACAGCCCACCCCTCTCTGTCCTGGGCCGTCCCTGAGTGAGCCTCCTGAAGCTAGTGGGTGTGCAGGGATGCTAGGACATGTGAACCTTCTGGGGCATAGAGATCCAGGAGGGGGAGGCAGGCATGGTGGACACAGGCCAGGTCAGCCCTCCCTGGGCCGCACTGCACCCTAGCATGATGTTAGTGCTAGACACAGGCTTCTCCTTGGTGTGGCCCTACAGGCTCCAGCCCAGAGACTGCCCAGGGCCACTGGTGCCCACCTAGAGGCCTGGGCAAGGAACAACCTGACCCTGGTGCTCCCACTGCCCTTGCTCTCTGAGTAGCCTCCACCTCATGGGGATAGGAGCTAAGCACCCTGGGTTGAATCCTGCCTCCTCCTCCCTGCTGTGGGAACCCAAGCAAGGCCCTTCTGCCTTCTGGGCCTCAGTATCCACATCTGTATGGTGAGTGGGTTGACCAGATGGTCCCAGCTTTTTCTTCAACTCTACCCAGCACCTCCTATCTCACACCTCACCCACTCCCTGGACCTCAGGCCGTCTTGGCCCGAGGATCACGCTGCCTTGTCCTGTCACCTCAATCCTTAGCCCAAGCCTCTGCCCCTGTTTCAGGAAAGGTTGAGCAGCTGAGCTCACAGGGCTGCCCAGCCTCTACCCTCCCAGGAACAGGCCATGCATGCCAGCCCCTCCTCCCGCATGGGGCTTCTCAGCCCACTGAAACCCGCCCTTGCCACGCCTGGGCCTGGGTGGAGAACAGGCCCCACCCCGTCTGATGCTCCACATTGCTGCCCTTCCCGTCATGCATGAAGGTGGTATTTCTACTCTCTCTGGTCCTGTGCCCGTCTCTGAGACCGTCTCTGTGTGGAATTTGCCTTAAACTGAAGTAAATTTGGTTCTTTTACGAAAAGAAAGCCCCTTGTTTTCCCTTCTCTTGGTGTTGCTCGTTGCCGGAAGCCACGTTCTCCTCCTCCTCCTCTCTCCACCTTTCTGTTCAACACAGCTTCCTTGCCACTGCTTCGGGCCCGGCTCTGTCGGCGCAGGGGGTGGTGCCGTGAGCAGATGCTTGTCTATCTATCTGCACGTGGAGTGAACAGCACACCTACAAATGAGGTGGGGAAACACAGTAGGCACACAAGCAACCTGTCAATAGCATCATTTCAGGTGGTCGATGGGAACTACTAAGGACCATCAGCAAGGCGGTGATACTGGAACATATTTGGCGTGATGGAGGCGGAAGTGTACGCAGCAAATTCATCTCTCACCCATCGATGTACAGCCACATTGCTCCATAACATTGGTGGCTCTTCCTCCGGTGCCCACCCTGCCTCCTCTGACTGTCTCTCCAGTTTTCTCAGCTGCCCGTTCACCTTCCTTTGGGGCACACGTTGCCCACCGGCTCTCATGTAGTTGAGTGTTCTCAGGAGCACATTTCTCAGGGGTGTGTAAGTGTTTCTTTTGTAGAATACAGTATTACTTGGCTGAAAGGTGACTGCTGAGAATGGCTTCCATTCAGGTTAAAAGGGCATCTTAGAGCGTGCCTTGGGCTTCCTCTCTAGCCTCTTATCAGTCCAGTATGTCCGATCTTTTTTCATGAATGTGCTTTTTTTAAATCACTTTATTGGGGGCTCATACAACTCATATGATTTTTTTTTTCTACGTGTTTCTCTCATTCTCACTGGGACCTTCTATCATGTCCCTGGGCAGAGCAGTCTTGAATAGTAGCTGGGCACCATCTAGTTCTTCTGGTGCCCGGCTAGAGGAGGCTATGGGTCATTAGTCTGTAGACTAATGGCTTCCTCGACTCTGTGGTTTCTTTTGCTCTCCTTCACTCCTGTTGGTAAGAGACCAAGAGTTTTAGCTTAAGACAGCCACATGCAGACCTTTAAGAATCCTGGTGCTACTCACCAAACTAGGGCTTAAAAGATTATGAGCTGTTTTATGCCAGTTAACCTACATGTCCCCTGACACCATGGTCCTTAACCTTCGAGCCCAGTACAAGTCCCAGGAGGTGCTTGGCTATGTCTAAGAAGTTCCCATAATCTTGCTACAGAAGTGTGCTGTTCTATATAGGACTATGCCTACAGCACACAAACCTACCTACCCACCCCCAAACAGCAACAAACACCCACTGCCATCGAGTTGATTGTAACTAGACAAGTGTGCACATATACATACCCAAAACAATACCTATCGATGCACACACCTGGCTTCCCACAAACTCCCCTGTATCTAGAGAGCTACCCATCGACCTATGTGCGTACCCACCCACTTCGGCTTGCTGCTTCCAGCTGCTGTTGCAGAATTGCAGGTGTCCCGGCATTTACTGTGGCTGCCCTTGATGCTGTGTACCTGTGTCTTCACTGGCTTCTTCAAGTTGTGCTGACGTGCCCTGTTTGTGAGTTGTGTTTCCCTTCAGAAGAATTAACACACGTCTGCTATCTAGTAAGTGTTCCCCCTTCATCTGTTGGTGGACACTTGGGTTGTCCCTATCGCTTTGCTGCAGTGAACACGAGTGTGCAGATACCGATTCGTGGCCTGTTCTGGTTTCTCCAGGATCTACATTTAGGAGTGGGATTGTTGAATCCTATGGTATTTCCAGCCCCAGCTCTTTCAAGAAGCGCTATCCTGTGTACTCTTTAGTGGTTGGACCAGCCGTGTACCCGAGAGTTACAGCCTTCCCACAGCCTCCCCAGCATTTGTGTGTTTCCTTTCCTGTTTTCAGTTTATCATCCGTGCTATTTCTGCAGGGGCGAGATGGTCTCTCTTTGCAGTTTTCGTTTGCATCTCTCTGTTGGTGAATGGTCATGAGCATCATGTCCTTGACCCGGTTACTTGATTGGCTTGTTTGTCTTTTTGTTGGAGAGGTGGTGAGATGAGACCTTTGTCAGATAGCAAGTTTTCCCCCCATTCTGTAAGGTCTATTTTTCCTGTTTGGGTAGAATCTTGTGATAAAACCTAAGTATTTAATTTTAGGAGGTTCCAGTTATCTAGCTAATCTGTTGCCTAGGTGGTTTTCGTTCTGTTTGATAGTACATAGTTCAGTTATATTTTCCAACATGAATACAATCCTATTTTAAAATTCTCTGAAACAAATCGCATGAGTATACTTCGTGTAGATACACATACTCATTGTCAGAATAAAATACGTTCACCTCTGGTTGGTATATTGAGAGTGATCTTTCTGCTGTTATTCATTCATTGATGCTTATCTTTCTACTGAGTAGGAGAGTGTATTTTTGACATAAATGAGGGTCCCCAGCTTGCTTTCTTCTATAAACACGATGGTTTTAGGTTTCACATTTAGAGTTGTGATTCACTTTGAGATGGTCTTTGAGTCTAGTCCTGGTTCATTTTCCTCCAGGTGGACATCCAGTTTTGCCAGCATCATTTGTGAAAGAGATGAGTTCTCCCCTCACTGGTTGGACTTTGTCGAAGACCAGCCGTCCGTAGGTGGATGGACGGACTTCTGAGCTCTCAATTCCGGTTCATTGGTCTGTGTGTTGGTCACTGTGCCACTCCCAGGCTGTTCTTGTTTCTCTCTCTCTTTTTTAAAGAAGTCCCCACAGCACCTCCCACACACATACATCAGGGTCCACTTCTCCCTGCCGCGCCCAGCCCAGGGCCAAGGGAATCATTACTCCCCCAAAGGGACCCCACATACACACACCCATCCCATCCCCAATGCCTTTGGTCTCTGTACCCCTCATTCTGGTTGTGGGGTCTGATGGTCCTTATACCAGGCAAACCCCAACATTCCATCTTGCCTGGGGCTCTGATCATATAACCAAGGCCCAGAGGTTTCATGTGGGAGAGCTGGGGGGGGCGGGGGGGCGCTGGGTGAGAAAGGTGGGCAGGAAGGGAGGCAGAGGTTGGGCTGATGGGCAGGGTCAGCACATTGGCTACTGAAAACCAAGTACTTACTGAGTTATCAGGCAGAAAAGACCCTTGCTGCTCTACTTCGGGCATGGAGTGCAGGTTCTGAGAGAAGCCTGGGCTGGCCTGTCTGGACACTTTGACCCCTGTCTCCTCCCCACTTCCCCGGAATAGCTCAGGGCTCACCCGACTTCCACAAACTCCCTTCCCGGCCCCAGGTGAGGAGCCTCTGCTGCACCAAGTGCCACATTTCAGCACTGCATCATGGCGGTCTCCGGCTGCTCCCTTTCAGAAGTAAATCCCCAAGCCTTCATATTTTGAGATGCCAGTGGGTGGATTTGAACTGCAAACCTGGATTCTAGTGCCTTTATAAAGCTCTGAAATGTGTCCTGTCTCCCCCAAGCCTCCTCCTCCTCTGTCCCCACCCTTTGGACTGATTCTGGTCGCTCTACACCCAGACCCCCTCCAAGCATACCCAGCCCCTGCCATCCCCTGTTCAAATCCAAGGTAGATCGCAAAGGATTGGAAGCACATTCTTAAGAAGTTTTCTTAAGAACCCAAGTTTATCCCAGACTGAGAATAGGATGTGTGAGTCCTACTACGTTGCTCCTCTGTATCAATACAGCTGTAGCTATTGAGGGCCTCTTTTCCTTCATATGGAAGCCTGGTGGTAGTGGTTATTCACTGAGCTGCTAGCCACAAGGCCGGCTGTTTGAAACCACAGCCACTCCTCGGGAGAAAGATGAGGCTTTCTACTCCCATACATACAGTTTCAGAAACCCACAGGGAGAAGCTCTATCCTGCCCTATCGGGTCACCGTGAGTCAGAGCTGAGTCAATGATGGTGCGTTTGGCTTTTTGTTGGAGAGAATTGCAGTCCCAGAACCTCACAGGGTTCATTCTCCCCTGTCTTATGTGGATCACCTAAGTCGGAACTGACTCCATGCCATGAGTTTGGTTTTTGGTTTCCCATCTGACGATTAATTTTCCCACCTCCTAAGTCGTGCTGTTGGGCTTGGGATTGTGTTGTGTGTGTAGTCTGCTTTGGGGAGGATTGCGTTTTCACAATGGGAAGTCTTCCAATCCAGGAGCATGGCATGCTTTTCCATGTAGCTATGTCTTTTTCCTTTTCTTGAAGAAGTGTTTTGTAGCTTTCTTTGTGTGTCTTGGTTAGACTTTACCTCCCTGGTTAGACCTTTTCCTAGGTATCTTGTCATTTTGATAAGTGATCTTTGCTTGGCTTCCTTTTCAGCGTTCTCCTTGTTAGTGGAGAGGAATCTAACTCATGTTGGCTTGTTGATCTTGCTTCCTGCTTCTTTGCTGAATGCTGCTTTGAGTTCCAGTAACTTTCATGTGGGATCTCTGGAATTTTCTGTGTACAGGCATACCCTGGAGCTAGTGCAGATTTGGTTCCAGACGCGATCACAATAAAGCAAATATCCCAAATCAATCGAGTCACATGCATGTTCGGGTGCATATAAAAGTCATGGTTCAAACCCACCAATAGCCCCGCGGATGAGAGAAAGATGAGGCTGTCTGCTCCCGTAAAGATTTGCAGTCAGGGAAACCCTCTCTCGGGTCGCTGTGAGTCGAATCGACTTTATGGCAGTGGCTGGGCAGGAAGTCCATCAAGTGTGCAATGATAGCATGATGAAAACGTTTGAGGCCCTGTGAGAAGGACCAAAATGGAACACAGATAAGCAGACCGAGACGTGAGCACACGCTGTTGGGAAAGCGGCAGCAATAGGTTTGTTCCACACAGGGTTTTTCACAAACCTTCAACTCGTAAAAGACTAACAAAAAGCCTCTGAACTGTCTGCAAAATACAAGAAAAATGAAGCACCGTAAGCAAGGTGTGTGGGATCGTGTCAGCGTCACCTGGGGAGAGTGCCACTTCTTCCTTATCAACTGGAGGCCCTGTGATTCATTGTCTCACTGCTCGGGTCGGACTTCCAGTAGAACCCGAAAAAGAGTGGTGGCAATGGGCATCCTTGTCTTGCTCTGGTTCATAAGGGGGAGGCTGTCACCTCTCCACTGAGAATACCCAGGACCCCCAGTGTCGTCGTGGGCTGCCCATCGGGCTGCTGTTTGCAGGGTCATCCGTTTCAAGCCACAAGCTGATCGGTAGGGGAGAGATGAGGCTTTCTGTCCCTGTGAAGATTCACAGCTGCAGAAACCCACAGGGGCCGCTCTCCCTTGGCCGATGGGGTCGCTGGATGTCAGTTTTGAGTGAAAATACAGGCGTTGTGTATGGTGTTTCACTTGTTGGCCCTTTGCGATCTAACGTGTTCATGGACTGAAGGTTTGTGGCACCGGCGTCACCGCATGTGCTTGCTCTGTGTCTGTGTCACGGTTATTCCAGGCCTTTTCACGATGCACTTGCACGCTTCCTAGACGACAGCAGGCATGGACACAGCTTCTCTCGGCGCTGGGGTGGGGTGGGGGGGCGACGGGACTCACTCTATGACCATACTACTAATGCTTTGTGTCTTTGCCCTTCATTAAGTTGAGGAACTTATGTTCCTAGATGGCTGTGTTAGTCTAGCTACTTTAGAGAAACAAATCCACAGAAACTCGTGAATAAGAGAGAGTTTTATATAAAGGTTAAGTGCACATCAAGAAAACATCCCAACCCAGTGCTGCCCAAGCTCACAAGTTTGACATTAACCCATATGTCCAACACCAATCCACAAAGTCCTCCTCCATCTCACATAACAGATGCAATGGTGCCGACTGCAGGAGGAAAGCTGAGTCAGTGAATGTGTAAGCATCTCAGCACTGGTAGGGGTCTCCACCCGGCTGCTCCAGCACCCAGGGCTGCATCGGGGTAGGTCCATGTGGCTTCTCCTCAGGGATGTCTTGCAGGAAGTGAGCCTTGCCAGCTGAAGCAGGGAACTGGCTAAGGCAGCTGCACCCTGGTCCAGCCATCCGAAAGCAAGAGACCTAAGGCGAGGCTCACTGAGCCATTTATCCCTCTGCCCTTCAATTAACCCCACCTGTGTTTATCGGCCAGGTTGGCACAATAAGCTAACTACCTCAATTGCTGAGCATTTCATCAGGAAAAGGTGTTGGCTTTGATCAAATGCCTTTCCTACCCCGACTGAGAGGATCATGTGCTCCTTTTCCTTTGTTTTATTTAAGGGGCACTTGATTTTCTCATGGTGAGACACCCTTCTATCTCCGGCATGCAGTGCTATGATTCTGTTGGGTAGAATCTCATTGAGAGTTTCTGCGTCTGTATTCATGAAGGCTATTGGTCTGCAGTTTTCTCTTGTGGTGGGTGGGGTGGTCGGAGAGGGGCTATCTGACCCCCTGAACATTGTTAGTGTCATCGAGGCAAACCCCACTCATAGCAAGCCCACGTGATGGAGAACCACGGCCCACAGAGCTGTAGGGTGGGTTCGAACAGCCGACATTTGGGTCAGCCACTGAGCACTTACTGTTTGAGGTGAGCCCTTCGGGAATGAGAGAGGGGCCATGAAGCCTGGGGGCGGAGTGATCCAAGCAGAGGGAAGAGCGTGTACAAAGGCCCTGAGGTGGAGAGTGTCTGTTCACTGGCTGAGTTCGAAGATGGGTGTGAAGGGAGGTGAAAAGCGAGCCTGCAGCGTGTGTAGGAGTCAGGGCAGGGAGGTGGAGGGGCCAGAGTGCGTGGGAAAGACTTGGCCAAACTGTGGTGGTGAGTGACTAACCAGCGATGCCGTGGCGGAAATACCACACAGGGTGGCTTTAACCGACACATTTCTTTCTCAGTGGTTAGGAGGCCAGGTGTTCACACACAGGGGCTGGTCGGTCACTAGGGGCAGGCTTCTTCTCTGTGGCCTCTGGAGGCATGCCCCCCGTCCCTGAGTTTCTGCTCCTGAGCCACTTCCATGTGGCCGGCTGGGTGTCTTTCCTGGTCCCTGCTCTGCTCGTTCATTTCCTTGCCTGTATCGCTCCCGAGAGAGAAACTCAGACGCTTGGCCTGCCTCTTTCCCAATGGGGGTTCTAACCACAGGCACAGAGGGGAGGGGTCACAACACACGCTGGGGGCACAAGGAGGGGCCGTGGGGAGCCACACACTGCCATCCCTTCACTTCACTGAAGGTCCCACTTTGTAGAAGGAGCCGCTGATGAGGAGCTAAGAGGAGCGTGAAAAGTGATCCTGTTATTGCCTGCAGCTAGCTCGACCCTTCTTTTCGACTCCCTCATTCACTCATCTCCCCATGTGCCAGGCCCAGCTCATGTGCGGGCGACACTGACTCGGGGGTCCCCACCTGGGGAGACAAGCCTGTGTGAAGGATCAGAGATACGGGCGCCCCAGTGGGTCACTCACAGGCGTGTACCCACGCTTTATGGTAGGGGGTCATCATGGAGTGATGGGTGGGCGTGTGCACGCGGCTTGTGTGGGTCCCATTTTCCTCCGTGCCCCTCTTTGCACCCCGTGGCCATCAGGGACCAGGGTCATATGGAAAAGGGTCTTCTCCTTTTCCCAGGCCAAGTTACTCTCGGATTAGACCTCAAGGCAGCCGGTCCCATCCTGCGCATCACCATCCGGTACTAAGAATGGCACCGTATGGGGACTGTTTACCTTTTAGGGTTTTGTTGGAAATTCACGGAGCAGATTCAAGGCTGTCTGCTTTCTGGGTGGGGAGGGGCGGGGTTGACCTCAGGCTAGGCACCCGCCTGGGAAAGTGGGGGAGGAGCTGCAGGACCAGCAGGACGATTAGAGCTCAGAGCCGCTGCCCTGGGGCGGTGTGCTCCCGCGACATTGTGGCTCTTCCTTCCTTTCTCTCCCGGGGCGCCCCTCCAAGCACAGAGCCGGGTAAAGCACCCGGGCTGACCCCCTCTCAGCGAGCCCAGTGACCTCCAGGGTCTTCAAGGCTCCAACAGCAACCAGCCGGGCTGGGTTTCAGTGTTGTGTCACAGGGTGGGCTTCAGCCACGGGGTCGCTGTCTTCGGTTGTTTCTGGAGAGCTCGTCGCCTGCAGTTCCCAGGCCCACCAGGAGGAGGCGTGCTCCCAGGAGGCCCGAGGGAGGCGGCCTAGGAGAGCAGGAGCTACTTGGGGGAACAGGGGTGAGGGAGAGGGAGACCTCAAGTTGGACTTTGATGTGAAGGCGGACCTGTTTCCCAGCCACCCAGGGAAGAGAAGCCCCAGAGAAGGGGGGGGGGGCATCTAAAAGTCACAGCCTGTCAGCCCCACTGCCCCAGGCTGGCGCTGACTTTGTTGTTGGCTTGAGGGGGTGTTGGCTTAAGGAGGGCAGGTAGAGAAGGGAGCCCCCCTACCCCACCTCACTCAGCCTCCAGTCCTTCGGGATAAGGAAGACTGTCAACTTCTGTCCACCTCTCTGCCTTTGGAAGACCCCCTTCCTCATTCCCTGCCCCTGCCCACTCCCTGAACGATAAAAAGAATCCAGGTCCTGGTAAAACCCACGCACTGACTGAGGGGCACCGGGCTGCTCTTCCAAGCGCCGTACGTGTGTGCAGTGAATTCATCTTCAGAACACCAGCGAAGGAGCGGCCGCCGCCCACCCATTCTCCAGATGGGAAAACCGAGGCCCAGAGAGCTAGCCGGGCTGCCCAGAGTCACCCAATTAGAAAACTGTTGCTGTGTGGCGCGGAGTTGAGGCTGACTCGTCGCAAGCCTGAGGGGCAGAGTAGAACTGCCCCAGCGAGGTTCCAGGGCTGCCGTCATTACGGGAGTAGATTGCCATTGCCGCGTCGTTCTCCCGGGCAGCTGCTGAGGAAATCTGAACGGCTGACCTTCTCCCGGGAAGCTGAGCACTTAACCATCCCCGTATGAGGACTCCTTAACTAGAAAGTAGGGAGCCTGTAGGTCTGTATGCCTGGCGACCAGTCTCGAGCAGGACCTGGTGCTTGGTGAAGTACCGGGAGAAGGAAAACAGGAAGATGGATTGAGATGGACAAGTGGCTGCCTGGACTGGCCCAACCAGAAGAACAGCTCTGAGGATGGCCCAGGGCCAGGTGGCTCAGGCCCCTGGCCCCGTAGTTACAACGCTCTGGGGTGGGGGTGAGGACCAGTCTAGCAATCTAAAGACACGGGTTCTGGCTGAGCCATTTCGTTGCTGTGAGACCTTGGCTGGGGTACCTGTCCTTTCCCAGTTCTCCGTCTTCTCACTGGTAGGATGGAAGGGCTGGGATCCGATATTAAGGGACTTCCCATCTCCTGGCGTCTCGGCCCTCCAATCAACCTAGCCTCTCAGACCATCTCCCCCCCAGGACCCATAGGCCCCCTGAGGCCAGGTCCTGGGCAGGCCGGACACTGCCCATCACCATGGCAGCCCCTCCCTCGCCCCACCGAGGTCTGCAGAAGAGGCTCCTGAGACCCGCCCGGAAGGGGCGGGAGAGGTAGAAGCAGAGGAGGGGGCTGACGGCACAGTTGGAGTAGGCCAGGATGGTGCACAGGCTGGAGGCCACAAAAGCCACTGGGGTGGCAGGCAGGCCGCCCACAGCTGCCACATAGCCCAGCACAGAGCAGGGCCCCCACATCAGCACAAAGACCCCCAGCACCACAAGGATCAGCCCCGTGTTCTCTCGGTGCTCCCGGAAGCTCTCCCCAACAGGGCCATGGGGCCGGGTCCCCAGGAGCCAGCCCACATGGCTGAAGGAGCAGCCCAGCCCCAGCACGCAGGGCAGGAAGGCCAGGGCTCCCAGCAGGGTGAAGTAGCAGGAGGTCCGAGCAGGGCTCAGGAGCATGAGGCAGGCCCGCTCCTCGGGGGCCCCTGCTGCCGCCGCTGCCTCCTCCACCACCACCCGCTGGAATAGCCAGTTGGGCAGCGACGCGGTGATCCCCAGGACCCACATGGCACCGCAGAGCAGCAGCCTCGAGCCCCAGCCAGCTGGGAGAGCCACGCCGGGCCAGGCCACGGCCACGTGGCGCAGGAGAGCCGTGGCCACCATGCTGTAGAAGGTGCAGAACATGGTGGCGGTGTTGGTGGCCTGGCTGGTGGTGCAGATGGCGGGGCCCAGCCACCAGTCATGCCGCAGGAAGCTGAGCAGCAGCACGGGCACCACGCAGGCCAGGAAGAGCAGGTCGGACAGCGTGATGTTCACCATGAGGCTGTTGGTCAGGGCGAGGAGCGGGCGGAGGGCCGCGGGGCCCCGGCCCACCACGAGCAGCATGAGCACGTTGGCCAGCAACCCCACTAGCAGGATGAGGCCGCAGAGCCCAGCAAAGACGAGGCGGAGCCGCTGGTCGGCAGAGGCTGTGAGCTGGCTGGGGAACGTGGCATTGGGCTTCGGCCCGGGCTCCATCCTCCTGTTCTGGACACAGGATGGAGGCGTTGAAACCAGCCCAGCGTTTCCTCCCCACACCCTGGTCCCATAGGAAAAGCTTGCCATCGGATCCATTGGGAGTCATGGCAACCACATGCTACACGGTAGACATGAGCTCCCCAGGGCCTCCTCAGGTGATCTTTACGGTGACAGGTTGCCTGCCCTTTCTTCCTTGGCACCAGTGGTAGATTCAGATCATCGAGCGTTGGCACATGATTCGTGCCACCCAGGGGCTTTCCTTTCCCCGATGGGAGTCCCTCATGCCACAGAATTGGGGTTTCTAGTGGTACCATGGTGAGCACCTGGCTGCTCACTGAAAGGCTGGCCCTTTGGACCCACCCACCCACAGCTCCAAGGGAGAAAGGCCTGGCCTCTGCTCCCGTAAAGATCACACCCAAAGAACCAGACCTTAGGGGCCACTGCTGCTCTGTCACATGGAGTCACTATGAGCCAAAATCAATCGGATGGCACCGAACCACAACCTTTCACCCAGTTCTGCTGCTTCCAGGGGGCCACACAGGTGCACGTAGTGGGCCCCATAGATCTCACAACAGCCTGATAGCAATGGGCTCTGGGGACCCTGAGTTCTAATCCTAACTCTGCTATGTTTCTTCACCTCAGTTTCTGAAACTGTAAACTCACTCCCATCACGTGGATGGGGCTTTTGAGACTGTGGATCTTTACCTCGTCTTTCTCTCATGGAGTGGCTGGTAGGTTTGAACGGCCGACTATGCAGTGCGAGGTTAGCAGTCCAGTGTTCACCAGACCGCGCCACACTGGGCTCCTTCGTCCACTCTAACCCCCAAGCAAAAGGCCAAACGCACTGCCATCGAGTCAGTTCTGACTCCCAGTGACCCTACAGGACAGGGTAGAACTGCCCCTGTGGGTTTCCCATTCTGGATCCCTTTACAGGAGTAGAAAGTCTGGTCTTTCTCCTGCTGAGAGGCTGGTGCTTTCGAACTGCTGACCTTGCAGTTATCAGTCCAACTTGTAACCACGCCACCACCAGGGCTCCTGGGCCCAGGAGCCTTTGTAAGGAGGCGAGGGAAGAGAGGCGACCAAACGGGTGTTGGCAGTAATTGTCGCAGACGGGCAAGGTCATCTCATTCTCTTCCTTATAATTATTTTTAATTTCAAAGTTTTTACAATCTGATTAGTAAATCAGATGAAAAATTATAGTGGGTGGTTTCTCAGTCTGGTCAACAAATGTGAAGCAAAGCCCTCCCCAAGCTGTTTCACGGGCAGATTTGAGACACCCTTGAAAAGTAGATGTGTGCAGGTGCTCAATCCCTGGAGTCACCTGGGCTGGGCCCTGCCCCACCCCCGAGATGAGAATTAATTGGTCTGGGCTTTGGTGGGGTTTGTTATTTTTTCCCTCCAGGCTCCCCAGGTGGTTCTGTTCAGACTGGCCAGAGCAATGCTGGCCCTCCTCGGAGGACATGAGAACACACCCCCAGTCCATGTGCCTGGGGCTGTGTGTGCTGGGTCCTTGGTGGAAGGCCCTCACTCCATCCCCCATCATCCCAGTGCTGAGCCCTTGCTTGTGAGACCCCAGGCTGGCAGGCTAGGCCTCCCAGAGGCAGCCCCTGGGCTGACACCACATCTGTTGACCCTTGAACCAGGGCGGAGCCCTCAGGCTTTAGGCTGTGGAGAGGCCCAGCCTAGAGGCTGACCTATCAGCTCAGAGATGATTTCCGGAGCTTTTACGCTGGGCCAGGCACTGAGGTACAGCGGCAGACAGAACAGACCAGTGGGGTCCTGACCGAGTTTCTGCCCCCTTTTCTCCTACATGGAGGGTGGGAGCTGGAGGGCACTTTCCTCAGCTGCCCACAACTGGGTTTGAGGGGGCCCTGAAGCCTCTGCCTGCAGAGCCCCCTACTTGGGGGACCCGCTAGGTCTCTTGTGCACCTTGTTTGAGGGGTCCCTCTGACTTCTGACTCCAGCAGCCTGGCAGGGTTTCCGGCTTCTCCCGGGGAATGCAGGAGCTGGAGGAACTGAGGGGCCAGCCCGACTGCCCTCCTCCCCCACCAATCCCCTAATGGACCCACCCTCCTGGCCGTGGCCCTTACTTCTCCACTTCTGCCCCTCATACCAGTGGCACCGAAGACGACTGAAGAGGGAAGGGGGGCTCAAGGGCTCCACCCGAGGGCCCACACCTTCCGGTAAGACCCTCCTTATCATGGAGCCTGGGTTCCTCACCTGCTCCACCCCTTACGAGCCGCATGTCAGTGGACAAGGATCACTTTCCCTATCTGTAAAATGGGAGCAATTACAGCCCCATCTCCCTCAGGCTGATGTGAGGCTCACAGCAGGCCGACGAACCAGGGGCTCAGCACTGTAGGTGCTCAGTAAGAGAAGGCTGGAGGCACAGTGGGCTAAGCATGGGCTGCTCACTGCAAGGTTGGCAGTTCAAACCCAGCAGTCGCTCTAAGGACCAAAGACGAGGTTGTCTGCTTCTCTAAAGATTTCGTCTGGAAGCTCAGAAGGAGCAGCTCTACCCTGACTTATAGGATCTCCGTGAGTCTGAGTTGACTGGAGGGCAGTGGGCTTGGGTTTGCCCCTTGCTCATGCATTTTGGAATTGCCATGCCCAAAAGTTCTCTCCCCTTCCCCTTGACACCTTGGTCAGTATGCATTCTATCCCCCTCCCCTCTCCTCACTCCACACCTAAAGCCCATCAATGCCGTCCCGTTATCCTTTTCTTAATCAGCTTCAAGCTCAGTTGTGGCCAGAGCCCTTAGTTGACATGCCCTGAAAACTCACCACTTGTCCGGAAGTTCACTTTGTAGTCTACCTTGAGTCCTGCCTGCTGCTGTCCTCACCAGCCTCCTACTCCTTTGAGGTTCTTGGGCCCTCCTTGTTGAGAGCCCCTTGACACTGGGAAACAGGCTGGAGGCCCCTCCGCAGCTGTGCTCTGCAGTGAAGGGGAATCTAGCCAGAGGGTCTGGGCAGTCTGTAGCCCTGTCCAGAACCCTGCTTCTCAGGAAGCTGAGCTGGCCGCTTGGAGGCTGGAGCAGAGTTGAAATGGGCAGCCCAGAGGGCCACCCCTACCCTGGGTCCCCCAAAGGACAGTGTTCTGTCCGCCCCACTGGCTCCCCGAGGAGTCACACTCTACCTCCCTGCCTCATTAACGCCCAGGCCCACAGATCGAGATGTTGACGTTTGCCTGGCCTCCACAACCTCAGAGCGAGAGCCATGGGCCTGCTACACACACACCACCACCACCACCCTGCTTTCCTGGAATCTCTCGCCATACTGCCATCCAGAGGCTGCTTGGAGCAGGGGGGCTTATGGAACAGGATGAGAAGGGATCTGGGAGGGGCCAGGGACTAGGGTGGGCGGGGTCAAGCAGTCACCTCACAAATAGTCTGGAGGTGATGCGGGGCCTCTTAAAGAGCATCAAGTCAATTTTGGGAATGATGAGGGCAACAAATGTATAGATGTTCTCTACACAATTGATCTATGTATTGTGATGAATTGTATGAGCCCCAATAAATTGATTTAAAAAAAAAAAAAAAGAGCATCGAGTCACCACCTGGTGGTGGCTTCTGACGCCCTCTGGCCAGTACTGCGATCACAGACATACCACACAAGTGGGTGACTTTGTCAAAGACTTACTCGTTCACAGGTTAGGGGGCTAGAAGTTTGCATTCAAAGTGCTGGCTCCAGGGTAAGGGCCCTCGGGGGAAGTCCTTATCTCTTCTGAGCTGTTCCCGGGGCATCTCCCAGTGGCGGGCCAACTCTCTCTCCCCATCCAGGCTGGCCTAATCTGCCCTGAGATCGCCTGTAAGAGATTAACTGAAGACACACCCTCCTGACTCCCTAATTGACAACTCCCTCCCTAACACGATTAGCTAGCCACAGGCCCCAGTCAGGGCACTGCCATCCGCTCGATGTAGGGCGGGGTGAACCGGTCCCCATGCGTTTCCAAAAGGTCACTATGGGAGTAGAGAGCCTCAGCTTTCTCCCTTGGAGCGCCGGTAGTTTCAAACTGCTGACTTGGCAGTAAGTAGCCCAACACGTAATCACTGCCAGCAGGGCTCCTTAACTACAGATGCAGAGAGTGGGATTTACAAGCCATCTGTTCAGAGGGAGGTAGGAGGAGACACACAATTCAGTCCGTAATAGCAGGTTACATGAATTATTTATCATCACCCAAGCAAGCTCGTGGAAAACATTTTCCTCCCCCTCAGTGTTTTCCCCCTGATTCTGGAAGGAAAATCCAGCCATTGTAGAAACTCTGAAAACACAAATGTGCACAAAAAGGAAACAGACACCCCCGCACATTCACCCTGTCATTTTTCACCCCAATATCTGGGAAAGTTGTCCTGGGATGTGTTGTATAGACTTTTCCTTTCTAAGAGGTTTCCAGTATTTCACACACACCTCTGCCCTGCACCCCTGGCCTATTTGCCCAGCAGCGCCCTTCTTCAGAGTGCAAAAGGCACCACCCTGGAACCCAAGTCCTGAGGTGATGCAGATTTTCTGATTCTTCCAGCTGGATCGCTGTGGCCAGGCAGGCAGGACAGAGGCTAAGGGACAAGAGGCCCGGGGCGGCCACCTTACCCTGGCCAGCTCGGGCGGTCAAGAGCAGCAGCCAGTCTTCTTTGGCGGCCCCTCTGGGGCCACGTCCACCAGTGAGCCCTTCAGGTGGTCTTCCTGCATCTTGAGTGACCTGCACAGCAACACCCGGGCCTCAGTCCTCCGCCCACAGCCACGGAGAGGGGTGGACGACTGCTGGGAACCCATGCCCAGCCGAGGGGCTGCTCCAGACTGCCCCTCCCGCGGGCTCTGCCCCTGTTCCCCGCCCCTGATGGCACCAGGGAATCTGGGCCAGGGGCACGGACCTTCTCTCTCTTTGCTGGCACTCTGTCAAGCCTGTGTGCCAGGCATGGTGCCCAATAGGGCAAAGATACGAATGCAGCCCTGCCTGGAGCAGTGAGCGTGACGGTAGGAAGCGGGTGGGGGGACGGGACACACTCAGTAGTGCCTCAGCTGTGGCCTGAGGAAGCAAAGAGGGTTTGCAGGGAGAAAAGGAGGCTCACTGCAGACAGAGGGCAAAGGCTTGGTGTCCAGAGAGCCCTGGGGGCTTGGGAAATAAAAGAAGCCTCCCTCTTTCTCCCTCCCCCCCCCCCCCCTTGCCTCCCCCCCCCCCTCTCTCTCTCTCACTACATATTGATTGTGTACCAGGCACAGTGCAAGACAACAGAGTCTAAGGGCTGAATGGTCAGAGCGGAAGCTTGGGGGCAGCAGGGTCCCAGGGCTCCGTGGGCCTGGGAAAGCACATACAGGAACCTGAGCTTTTGTCCCCAAAGGGAAGCGAGTCCCTGTGCAGTCTCACCCAGGAGAACACGTGACCAGGTTTGCAGTCCAGGAAGCTCCGTGGGCCTGGCCACTTTGTCAGAGACACGGCCTTAAAAACAGCCTCACCCACCCCCTTCCTCATCTCATCCATTGATTGAGCACCCACAACTTGGTGGGCCCTGAGTACGGGGTCACCCATCCTGAGACAGCCATGCCCCTGCCTGCAGCCCAGTGTGAATGGCTAACAGATGAGAAAGTGAGATAAAGGCGCCCAACACGGGGGCTTCAAAAGGCCTGCAGAGAAGTCCCGGTTTCCCTTCATGACATTTCCCCACCAACTTTTGAAGCCCTCTCATGTTGCTCTGAAGGCTGTTGTCCATCTGTGCCATCAGAGTGACCCTGAAGTGCCAGCCTGTCCATCCTATTGGAAGCAGGCGGCCTCGACTTTCCCCTGTGGTGTGACCGATAGATTTAAACTACGAGCCTTTACGTTCGCAGCAGAGTGCTGTAACCATTGTGCCATGAAGGTGCCTTTCTGAAAGATGGAGGGAGCCAGTTATGCGAGGGGAGGGTGCATCCTGGCTGAGGAAAGAGTCGGTGCAAAGGCCCTGAGGCAGGAAATCCTTGCGAGGAACTGAAGGGTGGCCATGGTGGCTGCAGCTCGGTGGGGGGAGAGGGGACATGTGCTTAGGGGCAGAGGAAACTGAACTAGAAATGTTGCAGGACATTTGGTGGGGGTGCACATTTGGATGTTATTCTAAGTCCAGTGGAAGCCTCTAGAACAGCGGTTCTCAACCTGTGGGTCACGACCCCTTTGGGGGTCGAACGACCCTTTCACAGGGGTCGCCCAACTCATAACAGTAGCAAAATGACAGTAATGAAGTAGCAACAAAAATGATTTTATGGTTGGGCGGTCACCCCCACGAGAAGAACTGTACTAAAGGGCCGAGGCATGAGGAAGGTTGAGAACCACTGCTCTATAAAAGTTAGCACAGGACATTGGCACTTCCTCTCCCAACTCCACTTTGCAGATCAGAAACAGGCTCAGAGAGGGCAGAGGACTCGCAGCTAAAAAT